GGGGGACAGAAGACAGGATCTGGTTTTCTTCCCCAAACATATTTACAAGATTGCAGCCAACCAGGGCAGCTAGTATGATTTTTCAAAACCTATGTACTGGATCAAGCCATTAGCAGCAGGGAGTCTTTAGTCCAACTCTAGACATACGATATTTTTATGCTGTTTTATGTTTTATGGCACATGGTGCCCTATTGTAAGCCGCCCTGAGCCCACTCATGAGGAGGGTGGGGTAGAAATGTGATAATAAAATAAATAAATATTGACTAGCTTGCACAAAGATGTGTTGATTCCTCATCAGCTGATAGAAAGAACCTGCCTGGATTTTCAGTTGCATGTGAAGGAAAATATTTACTGATTATTTAACAGTAATCTATTTTATTTGAACTGAACTGGAAATATGTGGTCTTTGTCTATCAGCATGTTAAAACTGTATAGACTATCTTGCATTATGACAGTTGCCTCCTCTGGGTTGGGAAACTCCTGGAGATTTGGGGGTAGAGCCTGGGTTTGTGGGGGAGAAGGGACCTCAGCAGAGTATAATGCCATAAATCTCACCTTCCAAAGCAGCCATTTTGTCCAGGGGAACTGATCTCTGTAGCCTGGGGATCCGTTGTAATTCTGGGAGATCTCCAGCAACCATCTGGATTTTGGGAACCCCATGCAGCATTATACAATATAGAGAGTGTGTTGACTTAATCTTCCCTTTACCTGCCTATTAACCTGCTGATTTTTCATGAGCCTATTAATTGTCATACAACTCACACTAAAAAGGGGAAATGGAAAAGTGCTTTTTCCTCACAAATAACTGTGCAATAAAGCACTTCCAGGAAGTAAGTTCGTTTGGGAGCTTAAAATCCACAAAATATTTTTAAATGGTACATTTTTACTTATATTCCTATTGAATGTAGTTAAATTGCTTTGTTTTGGACCAGAATTGAATTTCTTATTTTAGCTTGAATGGTAGGGCTCCCAACTCTGGGATGGGGGATGCCTGCAGCTTTGGGGGTGAAGCCTGGGCTCTGAGGAGGGGAGGGATCTCAGTGGGGTATAACGCCACACAGCCCATCCTCCAAAGCAGCCAGCTAAACTGATCTCTGTCGTCTGGAGATCACTTGTAATTCTGGGTGCTCTCCAGGCCACCAGAGGCTGGCAACCCTGTTGAGTAGTTCTGCTGGCCTACATGCGCCTGGAATTCAAATTAACCATAGCAAACACACAGAGAGATAATTTCAGATGGGTAGCTGTACTCTGAATAAAATTTTGTCGGTTTTAAGGGTACCACTGGACTCAAACCTTGTTCTTACAGATAGTGCAATACCAGGAAACACCACATGATGGCAGCCAAACGTTAGGAATTGTATATAACTACAACTAACATCAGAACAAAGATTCAGGTGGTTAACCCTGATGCTCTGAAGCAGCAGAACAGTTTGAGTCCAATGGCAGCTTTAAGACCAACAAAGTTTTATTTCGTGCATGCTTTCTCTGTTATGATGAAATGGAAATTACCAGTCCATACATATAAGTAGAGGGTGAGAGCAGTAAATTAGCGTACAACATAATGAAGATGTTTAACAGATGCAAGGGCCAAACAGGAATAACACAGTTATTCATCGTTATGAGAAACCTGTAGAAGAACACTTCAGCTTTCCAGGACATTCAGTGGGTGACCTCAAAGTAGCTGTTTTATTACAAAGGAACTTCAGGAACAGACTGGAAAGGGAAATTGCTGAATTACAAGTTATTACAACATTCAGAACAATGGAATCCCCAGGACTTAACACGCATATTAGTTTCTTATCTCACTACATATGCTACCCTCATCCGGTCCTTACACCAGTATTTTCACTAAGAAGGACTATACATCTTTATTTTATTTGGAATAGTAATTGTAATAAATACTACAATGTAATGTAATTTAGAATGGTAGATTGGAACGTATCTCTCTGGTTTGGGGACAGAGAACATACACACTGCACAACCAATCACCCCACCTCAAAGAAAAGGATGCTGTAAAATTACCTCCACACTTGAGAGGAAGGAGACAGACAGAGCGTAACAAGAGGGTCACAGTTACTCTCAGCATTCCACAATTTAAAAAGGTAGACCTGCCCATCTATCTCCAATTTTGATATATTTATTTACTTCACTATGTTTTCCCCTGGAATTAAACCCAAACTATTGGTGACCATATAAACTAAGCTTGTTAATCCAGTTTTGTCCTTGCATCTGTTAAACGCCATTTATTACACTTATGCTTATTTGCTGCTCACCCTCTGCCTATAAGGACTGATAACTTCCATTGTATCTGAAGAAGTGTGTACGCACAAAAGCTTATACCTTGAATAAACATTTGTTGGTCTTAAAGGTGCGATTGGACTCCAACTTTGTTCTGCTGCTTCAGATCACCAACTGAGACTAGCACTTCAGTAATAGTTTCAGGAGGTTAGCCATGTCGGTCTGAAATCGAAGAGCTAGATTTGACTTCAGTAGCACTTTACAGACCAGCAAGGCTTTGGGGGTATAAGCTTTCGAAAATCAAAGCTCAATATTAGTTTTATATGGAATGGAAGTCCAAGTCTTTTTAGGCTGTATTCCTACTTTCATATCATATACCAAGCTGGAAAAAATAGCAGAAATCCAATATTTATTTGTAAAAACAAAATCCTCATTTACACCATGCTACATTTATTTATTTACTTCATTTATACTTCACCTTTCTCTCCAGTAGGCACCCAGAACACCTTGCATTGTTCCTCTCTCCTCTGTTTTACCCTCTAAGGTAGGCCAGGCTGAGAGTGGGTGACTGGCCCAAAGTCAACCAGCAAGCTTCCACGGCAGAGTGAGAATTCGAACCTGGGTCTTCCAGATCATAGTCTGACACTCTAACCACTACACCAAAAACCTAAAGTGAAGTTTGCTGGGAATATTTCAGCTGTAGTTGTGAACAATATTCAAAGTTAAAGGGGGGGGGGGACACCTGAAACCTGTTCCCTGGCTTTTCCATTACACTGTTTCTGCTGTCCTTCCCCCAGCACACATTCTCTATTGAAATATTTTTAGAAGGGCCCAGAGCTAAGAAGCTATATTGCACTGTAATTGCTACTGGGGTTTTCAGCATCAAAATAATTTCTTCTAATGGCAAATTATTTGATAAGATTACTTAAAAGGAGTTCAGTACATGTGTCCTCTTTGATCTCCTTCAATTGTCTCTTGACCTCCATTCCTCCAACAACCAGTTTTTGCTTTGATAGCTTTTGGTAGTCAAAGACTGTAATAATAAGAACACTTTCATGGGAGCACTCCTGCCCGTTCTCTCACCCTGAGCAAGTGGTAAAAGAGGCATCCAGAGTGATTCAAGTTGTATACCCTGTTACCGAAACTGCTCTGTTTTGAAGCTAGTTCCGGTGAGTTCGGGTAGGTCAATTGTATACAGAGATTTTAATCAGAAACAAGCACGCCCATCTCCAAGAATGAACAACACGCTAGGGTTATGAATATCAATATTTGTCTTTTACTAAGCAATACTCAAGCACTCCAAACAGATGCATTCAATCAGTCTCACAATATTTCCTTAGTTTACAACAGTTACAGAAAGCAATAAGCATAGAGAATAACACATCAAGCTATACAATGGGTGAGGTTTCAGGGAGAGAGGGGGAACGCTCATACTCATCTGCTCCTTTGTTGAAGAGATCCTTCCTCACTGGGCCATCATGGACGAAAGATCATACCAAGGGACTCTTCCCTCACACGGGTAGATAAACCAAACACGTGTGTACCTTGTCTGGTGTGCACTGCCAGACAAAGCCCGAGAGAGTCTCCTTTCGCAGAGCTTAAACTGTCCTAATGGAGGAAGGGGGGGTTCTCTCGCTGCCATATTGGCCAGCGGGCCGCATCTCTTAAGTTGCAGGAGGGTGGGGAAGGGTGCTCTAACCTATCCTAACCGAAGAGAGAGAGAGAGAACAAAGCCGTGTCTTCCTTTTAAAAAACTACCTTTCTGGGCTTGGCCTAAGGCCATAAAACCTCTAGTAGACTGTCCCCTTTGCTATGCTATAGGGCAAGGGCGTCCTAATTAAGGGGAAGGGGTCTCTATTCAAATAAGCTGCCCTAACGTCAAAGCAGAGCCCAGGAGAGCCATGTGGTCCGGTGTGGAATGCCGTTTCCATGGGTACCCTTTGATGTCCAGAGATGTGCCTGCTCCAGGGCAATAAGGATGTTGTCTTTGTTATGCACAAACCAGATAGCCAGGTAGAGTTACATGATTCCCACAGATCAACAATGGTGGGAAAGCTGTCGTTCTCCAAGGGTCCAAGTTAGGTGTAGTGGCGCTGGGTCTCCTCTGTCCCGAGGCATTATGGGGTAAATTCCAGGGAAGCACATGGTCTGTAGAAGCAGCAGGCAGCACAGGTCTTGTCTATTCATAGGCAAGCATGAGATGCAAGGCAAAGCTACACAAACAACAGTAATCCCTGAGTTCCCCAATGCACAAATATGCAGACATGAAACCCACACAGGCAGCATCAACACGACACAGAAAATACATTTACAAGCACCATGGTAACAACCCCCTTTAAGTCAATACATGCTATTAATCCTAAAGTAAGTGCCCTGTGGACCCTTTTGAATTTTGAGTATCTCGTGCCACCACTAAATGGCTCCCATGGGATGGGGCCAATCCTTCCTGGGCTCTTCTCTGAAACACCTCCTGGTCTAAGAAAGCAATGAAAAATGGGCTCAACTCTATGCATTGTGGGAAAGATGGTGTTTGGTTTAATTTTCCAAAGAAACAGGAGGGTCTGCTCTCTCTGCAGACACTGGGAAAGGTTGCCAAGCCCAGAGAACGGACAAAATCTAAGTCTATGGCCATGTTGATGACCCACAGAAATAAAGCACCTGCCTGGTATTAGCTCAGCGCTTTGGTAGTCAGCAAGTTGGACAAAATCTGAGTCTATGACCATGTTGATGACCCACAGGAATAATGCACCTACCTGGTATGAGCTCAGTGCTTTGGTAGTCAGCAAGATGGAAGACAATGGTGCCAAATTCTATGTTTTGGGGTGTTTTAAAAGTTTCATTTAATATGCTTTGGGGTTTTCCATCAGTCCTTAAAAAGTAGAAAACACATTGGGGGACACCATGCTACCCACCCTGGGGACAAGAGTGGAAGTAAGCCAGTAGGCACAGGTACTGGCTCTGTTCAGAAGTTACAGTGAACATATCCACAACCTGCATGTTCATGCATACATCTGTTTGTATGCATTTACTCTACCAGTGAAATCGATGACCAGTACCTGGATAAATGTGGGACTTGTATCACACATTTAGCTGTATGTGCACTGAATGTCACATGAGAATTATTTCAACACTGGTATTTACAAAAAAACCCCACCAAGTGCACCCTGTACCCGGATTGTACACGCATTCTCTGTAATTTGTGAACTGGACCTATACTACTGGTAAGAAAGTGAATGACTGCTTGTACCTCCCACCCTCTGCTTCAAACACCCTCCTCTCCCAGCAAAAAGAAACAGCAGTGGTAAGAAATTGAAGTTACTTTTACCCTTGATGGTGACCCCTGCACAAGCAATTGTAAAGGGAAAAAAGTTGTAAACCTAGTGTGTGTACAAATGCCGACCCTAGTGAAGATTCCCCCCAGGCGTCAAGAAGCAGGTCCTAATCCACAAACGTTTATTTATGCTTTACTGACAGCTTCCTGGTAGTTCAATTGTTGTGACAGCCCCTTTTTGTTTTTGTTAAAACGAACTGAAACAGCTACCCCTATAGTAGAAAAGAGTGAGAGTCCAGTAGCACCTTAAAGACTAACAAAATTTGTGGCAGGGTATGAGCTTTCCTGAGTTACTGCTTACTTCTTCAGACACAGCTAGAATGGGAGTCCACCTGTCCTATATATTGGAAAGTTATTTCAGATGCCGAATGACAATAGCAGGCGTGACTGGATTAGGGGGACGTACTAAAACTAAGAACAGCAATTGTCCATAGGGAATCCATGATTGCCCATAGAGAATAATGGAGAGTAGGCTTGCCCAGAGGGGATAGTGCAGTACATAATTGCCAAAAGAGGATCCATAATTGCCAATAGAGAATCCATGACTGCCGATAGGGATTAATGGAGAGGTCGCTTGCCCATAGGGGATAATGGAGTACATAATTGCCAATAGAGAATCCATGATTCCAATAGATAATCCATGACTGCCCATAAGGAATAATGGACAGAACGCTTGCCCATAAGGGATAATGGAGTAAAAAATTGCCAATAGAGAATCCATGATTGCTCATAGGGACATAATTGCCAACAGAGAATCCATTTTTGCACATAGGCAATATTGCCCAGAGGTCATTCCGGCTTGTATTTGTGTTCTGTGTTTCCACAGGCTGAACAATATGTGCATTTTCCAATTTTGTTTCCAAAAGATAATCACACATTGGCATAAGAGTAAAGGTCTCTTTTATACCCTTTGATAAAGCATCACAGTCAACTGTCTCAAGAACTGAATATGTAGTTGATCTCTTCACTAATAGGGGGGCGCAAGTAACTTTCTGGTTTTCTTGCAGGATGGGACTAATAGGAGACAGAGACACTTTCGTTTCTAAAATGATCAGGGAATCTCCTTTAGGTAAACTGTCATCCCAGTTCCAGAACACTCCTGGTACACCTGGGGCTGTCATTCCACTCCGTGGCCTGTCAACCCAGTGCCTGAACACTGCTGCTCCACCCTGGGGCTGTCATTCCACTCTGTGGCCTGTCATCCCAGTTCCTGAACACTACTGGTGCACCCTGGGGCTGTCATTCCACGCCATGGCTTGTCATCCCAGTCCCAGAACACTCCTACTCCACCCTGGGGCTGTCATTGTACTCCGTGGTCTCTCATTCCATCCCCAGAGTAGTGTATTTGGGCCCAGAGACCCTAATGGAAACTCCACTCCGCATTTTTATTGCAACTCTACTTGTACCCTAATGTTTTCCAATGGAGGCCATGCAAGTTAATTGGCATTCTTTTTTTTTCTTCCATTCCATTCCCAGAGTAGTCTATTTGGGCCCAGAGACCCTAATGCAAAATCCATTCCACGTTTTTATTCCTGGCTCCCATTATTTCCAATGGTCCTTCCAGCGTCTCCCATTGTTTCCAATGGGCAATCCTGTCCTTCCTTTTAGTACATCCCTGTATTCTCTCTGGGCAATTGCTTGTCCTTAGTTTTAGTACGTCCCTGGATTAGGTGTGATATGCAGACAGGCAGTAGGCGCACACTGGTAATGACACTACAGAGACAGCCTAACACGACTACCCCTCTTGAGGTACCCCTATGAACGGATGCAACCTACAGAAAGAGAGGACAGGGATTGTGTAGCAGCGGCCCTTCCCTTCGCCACACGCGCTAAAAAAAAATCGCATCCGCAGAATGGAATAAAGGAACCGGCGCCCACTCAAGACCTCGGAGAAAGGAGCGAGCGGAGCAAGACGGGTTTTGCGGCTCCAAGACCCACGCCCCTTTGCAGAGACAACTATCGGTTTCCAGGACACCGAAGGGAAATCTATCGTAAACCAAAAAAAATTATCGTAAAGTGTGCTCACTACTCTCTTCCGACATCTCCGCAGGCAGATAAGTAGCACGTGTTGGCTGCTTTACGGCCGCCCGTTCCGACTTCTTCGCCGGCTGGCAGTCCCGCCCCTTCGTCTTGGCGTGCAGGTACAACTGCCTCCTTGATTGGTTGTCCCCCCCACAACTGGGTTGCTCGCCTTTCCTCATGTCATTCCCGACGAAGACGGACGAACCGGACCGGACCCTTTTCGTGGGGAATTTGGAGGGTCGCGTGCGAGAGGAGATCCTTTACGAGCTTTTCCTGCAGGTGCCGGGAGGGCGGGTCGAAGCATTGGTGGGCGTGGCTGCTGGGCGGATCGCGACCGGGAAGACAAGCTGCTTGGGGGAGAGTGTAGGTTTTGCAGTGGGTAGCGATGCATGGAGGAAGGGTGCACAAGGAGTGGGAAGGTAGACAGCTAGATCTGGTAGATATTCCTGATGGCAACTGTCTCCTTTTCTTGTCTTGGATGCGTCAAGTTTGGTGTGGTCACTGAACATGAGGAATTGAGTTTTCACATTTTGGGAGAACAAGGCTCCCGAGTACTTAAACGTATGCACAGATTCTGAACTCTTGTTTGGCAAGCAGTTGTTAAATACACACACATACACACACACACACACCCTGTGCCCGGTCTGAAATGACTCCTACTCTGGAATGTCAATTGAAAGCAATCCGCCTGAAGTGACATTAAAAAAACAAACAGCTGGGCAGAAAATGGACTGCCAGAGAATTCCCAATACAAATAGTCGGGGTCTGAAGGAAGATAGCAAGGTAATAGAAAATAAGTGATTTTTCTGTACTTGACATAGCCCACTAAGTACAGCAACAACTACGTCAGGGGCTTCCTCTGTAGTCAGTCCAGTCCTCTGGAATGGCCTACACAAGAGTAGGTGTGGAGGACACCTTCCATGACTACATTTACAGTGCAATCCTGTGAAGAGTTACTCCAGTCTAGGCCCCTTGAAGTCAATAGGCTTAGACTGGAATAACTGCCTAGCAGTGTTCCCTCTAAGCTGAGTTAGTGTGAGCTAGTTCACAGTTCTTTAGCCTCTGGCTCACACTTTTTTGTCTTCGTTCAGGAAGGATGGCTCCAGAGCAAACTAATTTATGCAGTAGCCAAATCTCTCACTCACAATTTTAATGCCAGTAGCTCATAAAGTAGAATTTTTGCTCTCAAGACTACACAGCTTAGAGGGAGCATTGCTGCCTAGAATTGTACTGTTAGAAAGACGTGCAAGCTCTACTTCAGTGGGCATTTGGAGAAGGATGAGTTCTCTCTACACATTTAAGTGTGTTTTTAACTCTGCATTATTTTTCTCTGTTAATGGACTTCTGAGCTTTGCACCTTGTAGTTGTGTTGTTAGCTATTTTAAATGAAGGAAATAAAACAGCATACAAATATTATAAGTAAGTAATCATTATTATAATGATTATAATACAAATTATAAATTTATAAATTATAAAGAAGTAATCAAATAAGAAGGGGAAGTCGTGGACTTCATGTTCCTGGGATCCAAGATCACTGCAGATGGTGACTGCAGCCATGAAATTAAAAGACGCCTGCCAACAAAAGTCCATATGGTCAAAGCAATGGTATTCCCAATAGTACTGTATGGCTGCGAGAGTTGGACTATAAGGAAGGCCGAGCGCCGAAGAATAGATTCTTTTGAATTACGGTGCTGGAGAAGACTCTTGAGAGTCCCTTGGACTGTAAGAAGATCAAATCAGTCAATCCTAAAAGAAATCAACCCTGACTGTTTCCTGGAAGGCCAGATACTGAAGCTGAAGCTGAAATACTTTGGCCACCAAATGAGAAGGGGGCACTCACTGGAGAAGACCCTGACGCTGGGAAAGATTGAAGGTAAAAGAAGAAGGGGATGGCAAAGGATGAGATGGTTAGACAGTGTTATCGAGGCAACGAACATGAAATTAAGCAAACTCCGGAGCACGACAGAAGACAGGAGGGTCTGGCGTGCTGTGGTCCATGGGGTCGTGAAGAGTCGGACTCAACTGTGTGACTGAACAACAACAAATCATTTGTAACTAGTACTTTAAATGCCTGACACTGTCCTAAGACATGATTCTTGCAATGTGAGAATAAGGATTTATAAAGATACATATCAAACACTTCTTAAGTAAGCTTTATCCTATCCTTAACAGTAAATTAACCTCAGAATACCATAACCCACAGTTGCCTCAGTCTACTCTTTTGGCCAACTATTAACTTCCTTTAGTTTCTTGAACTAAACCCACTCCCCTTTTTATTCAGTGTTACTTAACATATCCCCTCATTTCTTTCCTGCAGTATCCACTTTATAACCTTCTCAGTCCAGTGTTTCTGCTCTACATAGATCTATTCGTTTTTGACTTTGGAAGCTGTGTAATGCTTTCAGTAAAGAAGAAATATCCAGATCTTCTATTGTAACAGCACAGTCAATTAACAATCAGAAAGTCATTCTACTTTTAATGCCAATGCAGCATTCCTCTGGCATGAAGTCGAACAGTGCATGCCAATCCAATTTTGTTGTCAGTCTTGCACATTTAAATTTTTCATTCTTGCTTAATTTGAATGTGATTAAAAACTTGCCAACTGGATGTATTCTGTCTGCATGTTGTTTTCTTTCATTCATTATATTGGCATTTAGTTGTCGAAGATTATGTTAGTTCTAGCAGTGCAGTCCTGTGCAGCGTTACATTAGTCTAAGGGCTTAGAAGAGAGTAACTCGATGTAGGAGTGCATTCAAATGTGTTTTCTTTACCCATCGGAAACTTCTTTCGTGTGGAACAATTGTATGTTTGAATCCTTCAGTTTTATGAACTAGCTGTGTTTGCTTCAGCAGATCTTTTTCATTTATGAACAGGGAGAGCTACAAATTTAAAGTATCAGAGTACTTCCTGTCCTGGAAAATAATCATCTTCAGCAGGCAAATCTGTTTCACGTTCATGAAATGTCAAGAAATAAATGAAGCAAGGTCTTATTCTACTTCAGAGTCCCTGGGGGCTGAGTTATTGAAAGGCCTTTTCTTTGATAAAGGAAAATTGGGAACCTTTAGAGAGTCACAACAACAATGTCAGACATAATTTGGTCCTTTTCGTGAAAGAATTCTGTCTTCTCTCCTTTTTGGTTTGTTGGCAGTTCAGTTCAGCAGCGCGTGCGTTCTGTCACACCTAAGGTTATTTTTGCTATTGACAAATAACTGCCAGCGGTTGTAATAAGATGAAAGGCCAAATAATTTAATTTCTTTGAGCTTCTAATGTAGACTAGACCTTTGGATCCCTCCCCTTCCACCATTTTCTATTAGGAAAGAAAATCCTGCAGTGGAAGGAAGGAATGATGATCTGTTTGCACTCTGTCATCCCAATCCAAGAGCTGCTTCCCTGCTTTTCTGCCTATTCTTCATTGGCTCCTCTTACTGCTGATTTGCAGTATGGTTGATGTGAACTACTCTTGTAACCACAAGCCCATCGGATCTTCTGAACAGGTAATTTATTGAACCATGCATCTGAGTCCTGGACAGCCCTGTGAGCTGATCACAATCCTTACTAGCTACTTTTTTTGTTGACATAGTTCTAAATCATGTTATGATATACCATGTAAATATGGTAATGAATCATTTGTAGTTCTTACAGCTGCACCAACTCACTAGCGTCCTGTATCGAAAAGCTTCTTCTTACTGTCCCTTCTTATTCTGCCACCAGAAGACCAAATAAGGCTTGGCCTGCATAGTAATCCATTATTCTGCTTTTTATGCTGTAGGCTCACTGCCTTCCTGTTCATTGGAAAATTAAATCTTTTTTTAAGGAATAGAGTTTTCCTACACATACTAATTTGGTACAAAAATGTATAAGTAGCTGAAGAAGATGCATATACAATATTAACAGCTGACACAATCTATTCTGGACAGAGATCTTGTAATTGATTCTCGATTTTAAATTTTGAAACACTTGTTAATATCAGCTCTATCTGCTTGCCCTTTGCACGGTTTCATTTACAGAGGACAAATGAATTATCTTCCTCATCATGTTTTCTATTGCTTGCATTGTTAAAAATATTCTGGAATGTTTTTTGCTTACTTGGTAAGTAGAGGAGACTCTGGAAATTTATGAATGTCTCTCTCTGGGGTTTTAATGATGTGTAGGAGCAAAAAGGACAGTTTGGATTGGGAGCTCAACAGTCAGCTCTTTCCCCTGCACTTTTTTCTGAACCTCTGCACCTCCCCAAAGTTGTTGCTTGCTCCATGGGGGAAGCATAGCAGTCAGGGCTATTTTGGGGCAGAAACGCACAGGAACGGAGTTCTGGCTGGCTTCAGAGTTGGCCATGCCCACTACAGCCAAAACCTCTGCCGCGGGGCGCCCAGGCAAGTCAAGGGAAGGCAGTTTAAACTGCCTTCCCTTCAAGGGGGGGCTTGCCTGGGCTCCCCACAGCTGCAGGGCACGCGGGCAAACCAAGGGAAGGCATGGGGTGTGGCCTAATATACTAATGAGTTTCTGCTGTTGGGTGTGGCCTATTATGCTAATGAGTTCCTGCTGGGCTTTTTCTACAAAAAAAGCCCTGATAGCAGTGCTATATCTCATTCTGAGCTGGGACCTGGCGTGTAGATTTAAAAAATCCACAAAACAGCCAGAGCAGAAAGAGGATTTTTCTATAAACGCGAGGAAAGCACCAGGCTTGCAGAAAAATATGAACTCTTAAAATAAATAAAGGTATTAAGAACCCAGATAATAGAATCCTCGTCTATAGCTTTAAGAAATGAATGCTCATGGAGATTTTGAAATAATATATTTTGAGATCTTGGTGGCTGTCTCAGCGGTTTCTACACAATGACAACAGTATTAGGACCTCCCAAGCTTTGGTTTCTGTCAGTCAAATTTGGGTGGGTAAGGGTGGACTGGAAGTCTAAAACACTGGTCATGTTTTTATGTAACTGACCTTGGTCCAGCAGGGCTGCTGTGTGACTCACCTGAGTGATTTGTTACCAGTCAATGTTTGCAACTTGGTGGAATTTTTCCCAGGGGCTATAATGGCCATTCACACCCTGAGGGCTGGTTGACTGAAAAATGTAAAGGATAGGAGTGAGGGAAGGAAATAGGGAAAGGAAAGAGAAGAAGGATAAGCTGAAGAGGGGGATGACAGAAAAAAAATAGGTGAGTGGGACACAAGAAAAAGGATGCTGCCGGGCTAGGAAGCAGCGAAAGCTGAAGACTGGTGGAAAGAGAAAGGTAGACTGC